ATGATTAGCAACATCAGTATTATTGATACGTATTTGACCAAAGAATAGTTACAGGTAGGCCTACTTTTTGTGGCAGCATATATCTTTACTCTTTGAGATAATTTACTTTAATGAGAATATTGCACCCAATGTCACGGCATTTAGGCCTACCATCACCATCTTGCTGTATATCAAAGTGACAACACTAAACGTTACGAAATGCAGTCCTACAAAATTGGCTTGTGCACTACCACGAGAGGAGTTGCAAATGGCACTTGTGGGTCTTAGATACAGTTCAAATTTACAAGTGTACACAATTTAATTATTTTTTTCCTTTGATGAACTTTTTCTGCAGTGATGGTTTTATGTTCAGACCCATTAATGCTATTCACTTTACTTGTTACGACAATGATGAAAAATATATCGTTACAGTCCTACTAGTACAGTGTCGGTGAAAAAAATATGAGTCGGTCTGTCATAGGCTTTTTGTTCTAATTGCCCAACTTTCCTTCAAATTACTATGCATACGCCAAAGATGAAAATGACAAGTATAAAACGACAGTACTTGCATTTTTTTTTTTTTTTTTTTTTTTTTTTTTTGCGACAAGGACATAGTTCACAATATTTTCCTTTAAACATCAAAACGATCCCTGTGTGTTAAGCTACATCCATCACCAGCACTTAGCTGTGACATGGGGAGATAAGGTTGGGTAATTTTGGGTAATTGTCAAAGAATCTGATGTAATTTGCATCTCAACCGAATAAATTATTTTACTGAACACATGTAATAAAACATTGAACTTGCATAAATATAAAAGTGTCATATATGTACTCTTGAACACATTTATCTAATATTTTAAATGACAATATTTTAAAAGTTTGATCCTACTAGAAATATATCATTATTTATTTATTTATTCATTTATTTATTTATTCATTTATTTATTTATTTATTTATTTATTGTAATATGTGAAATGTGCCTCGTTGTTTTGCTGGTTAGCACACAGTCCCATTTTATATTCCCAAAATTTATATATTTGATTATGTTTTCTCTTTTTTATTTTTATTTTATTTTTATCTATTTATTTATATTTTATCAGAACTCAGATGGCGATGAAGAAATACATACGTGTGGCTTTGTATGCTGTTGTCTCTGTGACACTCATAGGGATATTATATATGGCGCTTACGTGGGTCTCAGTGATATCAATTAGCAAAGGAAAAGATAATTCCCCAAAAAGAACGCAACAACCGCAGTTTGTCTATCTCGTCCAAGGCGCATTCAGACACCCTATTCCCGGTCTCAAGGCCACACCGAATAGAGAAATAATATGGCTGACGTACAGAAACAAATCAGGCGACATCTACTTTCCGAACAGCACTCTCACAGAAGGTCGTAACCGGCTGTTTTGGGAAGCAATTGAACGTGCATCTAAGAGGAATGACGGTGGCTACTTGTACTACCTCTTTCTGGACGATGATTTGTTGCTAAGAAATGAGAATAATACGAAACGCTGGTGGAGAAAAGATTTACCAAGCAACCCATTTGATCGATTTGAACTGTTTTTACTTGATTTTCAACCGGCAGTTGGGTTTACAAGATATATGTTTAACATCCATGAGGCTCCAGCCCCATTGGGGGTGAAATATAATTTCGATGCTATTTTCAACGGGTTCCACCGCCACACAATTTCCTTCATGTTGCCATACATCACCGATTTAGATCACACATCATGGTGGTTTTCACAGTGGTTTGTCATTCACATCTCTGCAATGTTTTATAATTCAAATCGTGTGCTTTGCAATGCGGTGTACGCAAATAACCCAAGAAATCACCAGGCGAATAAGTTGAAGGGAGCTTACACCTATTCTAACGATTTCCGCATACCGCGTGATTATTTTCGAACGTGGTTCGACAAGAACAACAAAGTTAAAACCATCGACGGGGCAAACATAAACTTGCTTCGGACCTTTAAAAGACAGGCTATGTATTTGGACATTCCGGGGAAAGCCAGCAAAAAACTCAATATGGAATACAGAGTTTCCACAGAGTTCATCACCACTGCATTCAATACGTCCCATCCAGGTATTCAAAGGATTCTGCATTGGAGAAGTTTACCAAAAGTAAGGAATATTCTCTATGGAAGTGAGAAGAATGAAGCTGACTTCTTTCCGGATGTTTTCCCCTTGCACTAATTCCCTATGTTCTTCGCCTTCTACGTAGAGACAGTACAGTTAATAATCAGATTAACATTATTTTTTACTGATTGTGATGGTCAGTTCAAAAATTGAAGAGAATAGTGCCTCTCCTAGCTAGACAGATCAAAAACGAAAGTGCCTCTCCTAGCTAGACAGATCAAAAACGAAAGTCGGGGATATTTTACTATAATATCCATGAATGAAATTTATACCATTAAAATCTTGTAAAAAAAAAGAGGCAGTTGGTGAATTGAGAGCTCGAAAACAGGTTTCTGCTTTGTGCTCAACTGTTTACATAGGTGATATAGGGAAAATGTTTAAATTCCCAGTTTTATTCTATATTCTATAAGTGTGAATCGTGCACTGTGCAATTTAAGTATGAAATACAAATATCTTGAACATATGTATCTCCTGCACGTCCATGATACCAGATAACAGCAACGGGTTATCATCTTTGAAAGTCTTTAAAAATATTCCTTTCTGTTGGATTACAATGGGGTGCTTTCACATGAAAGGGGATGAATTTATCTTATTATAACAAACAATTTGGTGTTTCCAAACATTGAAACGCTTTAAATCTTAACCGAAAATAACACTCAAACAGCACTTATATCTGATAGATATAACAGTCTGTTTTGCAGCTGTACATTATGGAAAAGAAACTCCCAGAATGGTAATGCCATGTTTTTGGTCATATCAGGGATTTTTTACGGCACATCAACCAGAGAGAAAAATTGCTTCTTGTCGCAAATTTTGATGGGGCCAGAATCAGGTTGTTGTACCATCGTTTCCTCAACTGCAGTACAAAGTATTATCTCCCATACCCGTGAACTGTAGGCCTACAAATCGTCTTATTTCGGGATGTAAATACCTGACTTGCACTCTATTTTTTTATAAAACAACAATGTGTAAATAAATCCTGTCCTGTGAGTGTGTAATCACAGATGTTGTAACCCAATCCTGTTTCGTTTCCTTCAGACTCGCACGACAGCAAAACCACAGCTAGCTCGTTTCCCCATTTAGATTCGGCCAAGCAGGACATAGTGTAAATAGTGGAGATTTCCACTGATGACGTAATAACCCGGTCACATGAAAATTAAATGAGACGAATTAAATTAACTATATCCGGTCCCTACTTTTTAGTGTGTAATTCATGAAAAACGACTTCATGTTATCGCTGTTTATCCGCCGATTAAATTTCGCATCTCTGTGAAGTTATGTATACTCTTCCCTGATAATTTTTGTATGTGTTTTATTTACAATTTCATGCATATTAAGCAAAATACGATGCATATTCTAAGCGGTAAGCGTTTGCACGAGAGACGATTTCATGTCATCTCTGCTTAACAGCCGATTCAGGATCTTAACGTACTTTCCCAACTCTGTGAAGTTAAGTGTACCCGTTCCTGATAATTTTTGTGTGTTTAATCTTACATTTTCCAAAATTTATTAACATAAAGCAAAATAAGATGCATATTATAAGAGGAAAGCATACTCACAAGATCGTTGCCATGTTGAAATTTTGAAAAATCAGAATTTTAATCACAAATAACAAAGGAGGACCCCACAGGGGCCGCCCCCCTCCCCATCCGTCCCCACCCCCAAATTACACACAACCGGCTTTCACGGTAGAGGTCACCTGGTTGCGGCAGACGTTCATCTCCGGTCACCTCTTCCCCCATCCACTCTTGTTTCCTTCCGCGAAAACGATTCTGGTCTCCTAGAAACAGGCCTACCCAACTACCAGACTCGGCACCGAATGATCTTGAATTCACCGGTAGATCGGACCACACTAACCGTTTTCAAGGTGTACTTCAGTACGCGCTTCCAAGTATCAGGCGCGACACCGCTCTTGTATACGGTGTGATAGCGATGATTCTGAGTGGGGTTGGGTTTCATGAAAGTAATGCCTCCGGATGCGCATGCTTCAAGATTTTGATAAGATCTAAACAACTCGAGGCGACCATAGTCCCATGACATTTATTGTCACCGAAGTTAGTAAAGCCCCCTTTACACTGAACGGCGTCCTTTCTGCGTCCAGCAGTACGGCCCCATTTGAGAGTTGAAAAATTATAATACTTTACGGCCGACAACTGGCCGATCATTGAGCATTCATTCTGATACAAAATCAGTGCTTGTGCCTCCTTATTAAGACCACAGCGATGCCAAATTTCATGGTCGCAGAAAGGACGCAGAAAGGACGCCGTCCAGTGTAAAGGGGGTATAAGCAAAAGATGAAATGCTGTCGCAGTCAAAGTAACAAGATCATCAACAAAATTATCGATGTATGTTCTTCATTTATAGTACTGGCGAAATAAAGGTACTATAAAATCCTGAAAGTTTTTGACCGTCTTCCATCAATGTAAAACTTGAAAAATTCTGATCGTCTTCGAGGAGACCCAGAAGACGGCCTCCATCCGCCCGTTTAATGTATGTCAAATAATAGACTGACCCCCCCCCCCCCCTTCCCAGAATATACATGTACAGGTACACAGGCACACGTATATAATACGGGGCTGCAAAGTAGTAGGCCTACTACATGTACGTGTCCGTAGCCAGGGTGGGCGGCAGGTTTGTAGGAATCCCCCCCCCCTTTTTTTTGCCGGTAAAAGGTCCCCACTGGGTAACGAATTTTTCAGGGTAAAAGGTCCATTTTTCAGAAAAGACCCCCCCCCCCCACCTTTTCAAACTGCTGGCTACGGGCCTGTACTATATCATTTTGTTCGTATAACCTGAAATTACCAAAGTTGTTGGTCAGACCATCATGATAATTTTGATAATTTGCATACATGTATCATTTCGTATGGCCAAAGATTTTGCGATGAATAGATTCATATCTTGACTGCATTTTACTGTAACTTGTCAGTGCACAGTACTAGAAGAGAGCCACTGGACGGACGCAGGACAAAACGTACTGTTAAAAACCAGGTTAGTACAGCTGTAATAGGGTGTTAGTTTGCACCCACTCGTGGCCAGTTGTGTTTTGCCTTATATATGAATTTATCAGAATAATTAGCAACAGCAGTATTATTGATACGCAGTTAACTAAAGAATAGTTACAGGTACTTTCTGTGATAGCATATACCTTTACCCTTTGAGGCAACTGACTTTAATAAGAATATTGCATCCAACGTCACAGTATTTACCATCACCATATTGCTGTATATCATATTACATGACAACACCAAACATTACCAAGTGCAGTCCTATAAAATTGGCTTGTGCACTACCACGAGAGAAGTTGCAAATGGCACTTGTGGGCCTAAAATAGAGTTCAAATTCAAAAGTGTACCCGATTCATTTCTTATTTCTTAGAGTTTCTTCGGTGACTTTTTTTCTGCAGCCGTGGTTGTATATACAGTTCCATTAAATATATTCACTTTACTTCTTACGGTAATGATTAGAAATTTATCTTTACGGTCCTACTAGTACGGTGTCTCCGTGAAAAAATATGATATGGTCTGGCATAGGCTTTTTTATGTAATTGCTCTCAAACTAGTGAACATACATCAAAGTTGAAAATGACAAGTATGGACCGACAGTGCTTTTTTGCGACAAGGACATGGCGCACAATATTTGCCTTTAAACATCAAAGTTAACCCTGTGCGTTGAGCTATACACTCAGCACCACGACTTAGCTGTGATAAGAGGAGATAAGGTTGGGTAATTGTCATAGAATCTGACGTAATTTGCATATCAACCGGATAAATTATTTACTGAACACGTGTAATAATATATTGAAATTGCATGAGTGTGAATGGCTCATATATGTACCATTGAACTCATTTTTCTAATTGACAATTATTTTTAAGTTTGATCCTATTAAAAATATATTATGATAACTTATATTCGCCACGGTGTGTGAGAGTATTACATAGGGGACCCAAGTTTGGAGACGTTTTCATTGAAAGAATAGCATTTTTTTTTTTTTTTTTTTTGTATTTTTTTTATTTCTATAACATGTGAAATTGTACCTCATTATTTTGTTATTTAAAAAGCGATCGATGCTGGTTACCATACAGTCCCATATTACATTCACAGAAACCCTGGAATTGTTATATTTGATTATGTTTCCTCTTTTTCTTTTTCTTTTAATCAGAACACAGATGGAGATGAAGAAATTCATACACATAGCTTTGTTTGCTGTTGTTTCTGTGATACTCATAAGGATACTGAATATGGAAATTTCGGGGGTCACAGTGACGTCAGTTAACAAAAGTAAAGACAGACCCCCAGAAAGGACAGTACTACCACAGAAAGAACTACCGCAGTTTGTCTACCTCGTCCAAGGAGCATCAAGACACCCTATTCCCGGTCTAAACGCATCGCCGAACAGAGAAATAATATGGCTGACGTACAGAGACAAAACAGGCGACATCTACTTTCCAAACAGCACTCTCACAGAAGGTCGTAACCGGCTGCTCTTGGAAGCAATTGACCGTGCATCTAAAAGGAATGACGGTGGCTACTTGTACTACCTATTTCTGGACGATGATTTGTTTCTAACTAATGAGAATGATACGAAACGCTGGTGGAGAAAAGATTTACCACGCAACCCTTTTGATCGATTTGAACTGTTTTTACTTGATTTTCAACCGGCAGTTGGGTTTCCAAGATATATGTTTAACATCCATGATGCTCCAGCCCCAGTGGGAGTGAAATATAATTTCGATGCTATTTTCAACGGGTTCCACCGCCATACGATTTCCTTCATGTTGCCATACATCACCGATTTAGATCACACATCATGGTGGTTTTCTCAGTGGTTTGTCATACACATATCTGCGATGTTTTATAATTCAAATCGTGTACTTTGCAACGCGGTGTACGCAAATAATCCAAGAACTCACTGGCAGAATAAGTTGAAGGGAGCCTACACCGATTCCAACGATTTCCGTATACCGCGTGATTATTTCAGAACGTGGTTTCACAAGAAGAACATGGTTAAAACCACTGACCGGAAGAGGATCAGCTTGCTTCAGACTTTTAAGAGACAGGCTATATATTTTGACATCCCAGGAAAAGCCAACAGAAAACACAGTATGGAATACAGGGTTTCTACAAAGTTTATAACCACTGCATTCAATAAGTCCCATCCGGGTATTCAAAAGATTCTGCGTTGGAGAAATTTACCGAAAGTAAGGAATATCCTGTATGGGAGTGAGAAGGATGAACCCAATTTCTTTCCGGATGTTTTCCCCTTGCACTAACTCCCCGTCTTCTTTGTTGTCTACAAGAAGACTGTACAGTTGATAATAATTAGATTCACGAGATTCCTGAAGTGTTCAGTACATATATTGAAAAAAAAGCTGGACAGTTATAAAACAGAAGTCGAGGATAATTTTAATATTATATCCATGGATGATATGATAATTGTTACAATCTTGTGAAGAAGACCCAGTTGTTGACTTTATAGAGCTCGAAAACAGGTCAATACTCTGTTCTTAGTTCTGCACACGTTTACATATCGGTGATAGATGAGAAAATGCTTAAAATATTTCTATAAATATATTTATATAAATATATATAATATATTTCTAGCGCTGACGTTGTTTTATGCAATTGGAAAGATAACATAAATGAAGAGAAGACGGTTGAACTTATCTTTCCTGATAACATAAATGAGGAGAAGACGGTTGAACTTATCTCTACTGTTATAATAGGGTTTATCAACAACATACCATACGGTGTGAATATTAAGGTATATTAAAATAACAGATTATTTTTACATGTTCACCAATTTTGACGCTCACCGATCGGTCGAGGGGCAGTCACGTGTGATCTGGTCGAGCAGTACATGATGTCTAACAGTATCTTACAGTTGCTGAGCTGATTTATGGTCCGACTTGTGCCGATCGCAGTGTGCCTCGGAGAGACCCATCAAATAGGTGCATAAGAAAGCTCAGCACCCTTGTCACACATATATATAATTGGTACATTAAAAAATACGGAATAAACACAAAATGTTTGTGTGACTGACGTGACTCACTTTGTCTTTTTTTCCTATGTGGAAGGGTCCTTTCTTGATGGAATGTTTGTCTTCTTTCTCTTCTTGTCATTGCTATGAACATATTTGTTGAATTTTTCCTTGAGTATGTTGTGTTTTTTCTCCATACGGTTTAGTTTGCCTTGCAAACGACCGACAACTTTGATTAGGCCGTCGAATTCATTGCGCAGTTTCTGAAACTGGGACCGTGAAACCGTCGTACTGTTCCCTTCGGCGGACAAACCTTCGTCTTTGTCCTTCGGTCGTTTGGTCAATACGATTCCTTTGCCTAAGAGAGTAATGACAGCGTAGCCGTGACCGCTGTTGGCGCCGCTGGTTCCGTTGCGCTCCGTCCCGTTGTTAAACGAACTCCCCCCTGCAACGCACAATGACCACTGATCCCAATCCCCTCGGTTTGTTCCACCTTCGTACCCACCCCCGCCACCACTCCCACCGCTTCCACTAAAGCCAGTGGATCCACCCCCTCCCCCAAACCCTCCATCCGTTGTATGATAACCTCCACTACCTCCCGTTCCGTTATTCAGAAACGACCGTCCGCCTTCAGCCTTCCCGAACCGCTCGCGACTCCCAGAACCAGCGCCGTCTAGGTAGAAACCGCCACCTCCGCCGCCAAAACTGACTTGCTTCATCCACGATTTGTCGCGGCTGTCTTTACCAATGGCGCTCTTTATTTCGACAGTCCCATCGCAGGCCGGTAGTCGCTGCATTAAGTTATTCCTCCCCCCTCCACCACCAGCCACTATCAAAGGTTCGTTGTCCTCTGTAGCTACAAATGTCCCACCGCCGCCACCACTGTTAAATCCGTATTCATTAAAGCCGCCCATTTGACCAATGAGGATTTTCAGTATAGTTCCTGTCGAAAAAAATAATAAATAAAAGAATGCGTATTACAAACAAATAAATGATAATAATATAATATGATAAATATACATTTATGAATACAGAGAGACAAAATGTCATTAATTTTGCAACAGGTACTAAGTGTAGAAAAATAAGTAACAATTCTGTAAATTAGGTACAACTTCAAAACGAATAGTCAGATGCAAGCATTCTGCTCTCCCTGGGTGCCAAAACGATCGAGAAAGACGTGACATTTTCCTTCGCGCTGCGCTAATAAGGATCATATTCAAATGTGAATAAAGGAGTAACTCTCTTTTTTTCGCTTATAAAAGCTGTTCATATTTCGCCGTACCTTTTGTCAGGTTAAATGTGCCCTGAACGAATGCGCCGTGACTACGTACTTTACTATGCCTGTCTGTGCCTCCTGCTGCTCCTGAAGAACGGGAAATACATTGGTTTTCATTTAAGTGTATTTTATCATTTTATTAATAGACCAAAACACTTCATATGCCTTCTACATTAGATTATAACTTTGAATGCATAAACACTTTTTTCTCCTTGAAAAAAAATGTTGTAATTTTTCAAAAATCAAAAGTGAAAATGAACGCATGCATTTTTACCAAAGACGGTACTAATCCTACATAGAGGTTCATTCTTGAATACCATTTAGCGTGACAGATTATGAGGAATCGGTAAAGTATCCAAAACTTGGAAATGAGTACCAACATTAGCCTTCCATTAGGTTATTAATAATTTTTCTTTTTCTTCGAAAAAAAAAACATTGCTCAATATAGAGATGCAGTAAGTCAAAAAGCTGCTATTATAAAATATAGTAAAATCCATGTTTCCTACCGGCAGCCTGTATCATGTATTGTCCACTGTGAGGGACTGAAAAGTACTGGATACCGTCACGTAGAGTGACCAGTCCGTCGTGGTCCTGCCCAGTGTAGTGGTGTCCGAGGTCCTTAGGCCCAGTGCGTCCTTCGGCGCCTAAATTGGTAAATTTTGCCCTCCATTGTCTATCTGTAATAACATTACTATGGATTACGCAGCAAGACATGGAATGTGACTTATTGTAAGCGTTTAGGGAGGAATTTCATTTTAATGATTGTTATCTTGGGGTTTGTTTCACAAAATATTTTTAGTCCGAAAATTATTCTACTTGTATTAGGTCAGTTTTTTTCTCTCAATTCATGCCGCATATCTGTCAGATTAACAGAAAATAAATGGAAAAAATGCTTGATTTTTCGTAAAAAATTTTATCATTTAATTATTTTATCATATTTTAGAGGGGAGAGAGCTACCCAAGCTAAGAAAATGCCACATGCCCCCGCTATGCCACCCCCTACACCAAGTTGATCGTTGTTCTTTTTAGTTTTTATACACCGATAAGTTAACAAAACATCAAAACGACTATTATATAAATAAATTATTCAATGAAATGTTTAATTCCTTACATTCGCAGTGTCTGCCATCAAACTTATTAGCACATAAACATAGGTAGTTGGGCTTCGTGTCCACGCACGTTGCCCCGTTTAGACAAGGGCGACTGGCGCAGCTGTTGTCCACTGAAATAAGACAGAAGCCATGAGGAGGAATTGCAAATGTTGCAAAGGAAGAAACAGAGGCCGGTCTACCACGCTTCTCTGTAACGTGTTTTATTACTCAGGTCGCAAAGAATGTGTGTACTTAATCGAAGTGGAAGCTCCCTACATGTAGCACAGATTGCAACACTTTACACTATTTTTCATCCCTTTCAAAGTCTCTTTTGTCATCAAACTTCCCGTTGAAAGCTATGTCAGTCTCAAAAAAAAAAAAAAATTGTTGTTATTGTCATACCTCTCATAAATCAGTTTTTTAACCTTTTATTAGATCTATTATTTTTGCAGCGCAATTGTCATACCTGCTGGGGGTCCCAGGATTTTTGTGATTAACTGTGATATTTTATCCAAGATTAAGGCGTCTGATGGTGACATCAACTGAAAGATACATAAAAGATAAAGCATTTTACATTTTGTCGGTATTACAACTCTTTAACGAAGATACAGAAGGTCGTTTGCCATTAACATTTTGATTTTTTAGTTTACTTCTGTAAGGACTACTGTTGTGCTCATTTAATTAAATAAGTCAAATTCAGACATAACCATCATTGTAATTTGTTTATTAAGTCATCTATTAATTCATCTATTCATTTATTTATTTATTTTTGTTGGCACAGTTGAAATAGATGCTATTACAACTTTCTTAATCGAAGGTTGCATATTCATCTTCCCTACATGTTCGTATGACTACATGTTCCTATGCCAACAAGTGCATACATATACTTAAAAGAAATCCCATTCAATATAAGAGTTTTTGAAGCAGGGTTTTAAAGATTGCTTAGCAGTCACTAAACCCGCCTTGTCATACTATACCTCCTTTCATTTTCACAGGATGAGATATCTTTTAATTCTGATGCACCGGTGCTTCAAATGCCTTTCTATTTAACAGAGAGAGAGAGAGAGAGAGAGAGAGAGAGAGAGAGAACGTACCCTCTACCAGGGCCACAGATTGATTTTTCACTAGACATTCTCAGATAATGTCTTTGGCTAAATATAGTCATTCCTCTGACTGGGGCTGGTGGAAGATTTGCCTATTTGCCTATCTGCCGCCCTGGTAGAGGGTAGAGCCAACGAGAGAGAGAGAGAAAGAGAGAGAGTGTTAAATGAAAACATTTAAAAAATCACTCACCATAATAAAAACCATAGGCATAAATAGCGTAAAAGATACAACCAGGTCCATCTTCACATCAGAGGAGCTCAAAACACTGGCTAAACAGATTAGCCTCTTACAGCCCTGAACAGAACTTCACGGATTGATCTTATACAACCTTTTACACTGGAAATGATGCAGACCCTGCATGTGGATATTTTCAAGAAACCCGTTGGTATTTTGCTATTTGGAAAATGGGTAAATATTTGTGTTCTTCAACAGCTGTGTTGAATTACAGTATTGTTACAGCGAATTTTGTTCACCCTGAGTTTCAGAGGTCCTGTAAGGACGCATTCACAACCCAAGTTGATCCGCGGACTAAATATGGAGGGCCCACTTGGGAGCTTACCGCGGAATCCCCGCGGTGAATCTATTCAGTATGTACAAGACGATTATGCGGCAAGCTTTCAAGTGGGTCGGCCATATTCGATCCTCAGATCTGGTAGTCTGCGGGTCAACTGGCTCTGAATGCGCCCTTATACTATTGGTAGAAACGGCAGAGGCTGTCTGATGGTAAAAAAAGTTGAGTTAGCAGGGAGTTCTGATACACAGGGTGCTTTACTGCTATTGCCATGAGAAATGTATGTAGGGTAATCATTTTCCCACGTGCATTCGGTACATTTTGTAGCGCTATCACAGCATGCCTCACGCCAGTTTATTCTCTGTCACTAAAACAGGCAGTTAAGCAATGCAAACAAAGCACTACAAAGCCATAGCTATTGCCCTCAGGGCGCGATTTTTTGACACCGTAAATGACTTT